ATTTGAGAATCTTCCGGATAAACTCACTAAGTCTCTGGGCATCTGGTACGATGTCAACACTCATAACATACTACGATGTGGAGGACGTTTGCTACATGCAAAGATTGACTTAGACGCTTAGAACCCAATTCTTTTACCTCGTCACCACATCATAACTAAACTTTTTGTCTTACATCACCATCAATATGGTACCCTACATGGTGGAGTTTTAGATACTCTCACCGATCTTAGACAAAAGTACTGGCTTCCTCAAGGTCGTCAGACTGTTAAGACCATTATTAAATCTTGTGTAATCAGTAAGAGATACGACGCTCGAGTGTGTCCTTACCCAGGACCTCCCCCACTCCCAGAAGAGCGAGTGGTTCATCTTCATCCATTCGAAACCACTGGAGTTGATTATACAGGAGCCTTACTCCTCACTGGTAACCCAGATAATATACCAGTGAAGGCGTACATTTGTCTCTTTACATGTGCTACAACCAGAGGCGTGCACTTAGAGGTCACCCCAGACATGAGTGCTGAAGCTTTCATTCAAGCTTTCCGCAGATTTGCTGCCCGTCGATCATGTCCTAGATTAATGATATCAGACAACGGATCTAATTTTGTGGCAGGAGAAAGTTGTTTGCGAGAAGTCTGGAACCACCCTGAAGTGCAATCAGTCTTACAAAGAAGACAATGTCACTGGAAATTCATAGCACCAAGAGCCCCTTGGCAAGGTGGGTTCTATGAGCGAATGGTAGGCACAGTCAAGAAGTGTCTAAGGAAAACGTTACACCGACAAAGGGTCAGTTACTCAGAACTCCAAACTATTGTTGTGGAAATCGAGGCGCGAGTCAATAACCGCCCAATTTCCTACCTGTCTGATGATTATACCCAGAGAGAACCACTGAGTCCCTCTCACTTGATCCATGGAGGTCTACTGAGCCCTCTCATCCCTTTAGCCGAAGAGGACCCTGTAGACCCGTCCCATGTGACCAGAGGAGACTTGGTGGAAAGCTACCAGCATCTGTCTAGAGTTATTAACAGGTGGAATGAGGTGTGGACTCGAGAGTACCTCACAGCTCTACGAGAGTACCACTACGGAGCTTCGAGTCCTTACAATAAGGTGCAATTAAAGCCAGGAGACCTTGTACTAGTCGACAGTGATGGACCAAGGTCCGAGTGGTCTATAGGTAAAATTGTTACCATTCACCCAGATCGAGAAGGTGTCCTAAGAGTGGTTAAAGTCTTATGCAGAGGCATCACTACTCTAAAAACTTTAGAGAAGCTGGTTCCCCTTGAACTGACTGAACAAGAATATCAGCCAGATCCAGTTTCCCCAGTAATTTCAGAGGACAATGAATTTGTTCCTCCAAGCAACCGCCCCACTAGAGCTGCAGCTCGACAATGTAGGCGGAATTTGCAAGCCTATTACAACTCTGAAGAAGAATAATTTCCTTCACTTCCCACTGAGAAAACTGTGATGATGCTACGATGTGATATCACGTAACGAAACATTACACGTCACTATGACCCAGGATATCGCATCACTGTAGATTCTGTTAGTTTGAATTGGGAGAGTTAAATTTTATAAATATTGTGTAGGCTACAAACAACATTTTTCAGTTGACATGTAAATAGCAAGACTCAAATTCTTGTAAGTCTTTGATAAATCCGGGACGTTCGTTATGTGTGTACTAACATACTAACATACTAATGTATTAATCTTAATATCACTTCGGGATAGGTCAGTACAACACAGTACACTGCGACCCTAGGATCCTCCCCCGGAGTTATGTTGGATATTTCCAACACCGAATACAACATTGTTGTATTCTCATTACTTATTACTAACCATACTAAATATTGTAGTAAGTAAAATTAACAACTCGTAGAATTCTCATGTACTAATAATTCATCTGTGCAGTAGGCTAGAATTCTCACGTCACCTGACGCCAGTATTGCGTCAGATTTCCTTACAGTAAACACATTATATCCAATTTGTGTGAGAATTAAATACAATTCTCCATAATTAAAGCATTCTGTATGACAACTGATTGCAGACGAATTGTTCTCTAACTAAAAGCCGAATAGAGCGTTAGAATCATAGCGTCTACCTAGCGATAGAGTTAACGTCATCAATGAATGCCATGGGGAGACATTAATTCCTCTCCCTTATATATTTACTATTCTTAAATTGGTAAATAATAATATTTTGTTCCTCTAAATAATAAACCCGTCCAGTCTTTAACGTTTCAAGCGCAAATGCGAGAAATATTAATGTTCGAGACAATAATTTGTTTTATGAACGCCGACTCGGCGTGGGTTGGAGGGACGCCATCCTCCTCAGTACGCGGACACGTGCAGAGCCGAAAGGAAGCAGACCTGCGCTTACCGTACTCATAAGAAAACGCCATTGCCCAGCAAATAGGGCAGGTGTTATCCATCCTCAGATGAAAGCCGCCACTGTGAGGCGTGAATAACCTTGCAGATAATATCTTCAACTAGTGCTGGTGTTAAATAAGGAGCCCTTTGACTTGGTTCCTGACGACACGTGATCAGCCAGCTGAAGCGCATCACTATCCAGGATAGGTTCACCGGAGCCTGGGATGCGAAATACGGCAATCTTAATACTTATACAGTGCCCACAGCTAAGTATTCTTTTGTTTGATGCATCAGGTAGAAGATTGATGATAGCAGGGTGATTGTTCATTAAGAAGCGCGATAACACCTAATAACAGGTGATTAAAATTTATCACCGGTAAATTCTTAATATTTTTGAATATAAATTGAGTAGTTAAATCAATTGCTACTGGAAGTTATTTATCTTGCAGCACGAGAGAAGAATTCCTCATGCTGCCTTCCTCCATGTTAGCCCGTTCCACTCGTTAGTGTACCAAGTCTGGAGAATAAGAGGACTTCTATGGCTTACTAAGGGAATCTTCATCAAGCTAAGATTTATTTCCTTTTACTATTCTGTTGCAATATATATTTATGCAGAATGTTTTGAGATTAATGTGTGATTTACTGTAATTCATTATTATGCTCATAATTTATATTCCTCTCTATGCTAATGAGATTAGTTTCAACATTATCTTATAGGATTAGATTATTATTAATTGAATTAGTGAACGAACCACACTAATTCCTGGACGTACTTACATCCAGTAATAACCCCCCAATGTAGGTGTTTGAGGTTTGTTTCATTTAATAATACAGCCCATTAATTATTATTATGATCATGCTTTCTAGTTATATCCATAGTCACTGGTTTCATCTAGAAATTATCTAATGATCAGAAATTCTCAGTTTCCCTCTTTACTTTAAAAGCGGGTGGTCCTTCGTAATTTAATTTACTACATTAATAATTAAATAATCAGAATCAAGCTCAAATATCCCACAACAGGGATGGATTATTTAACACAGGTGCTTCACAAACAAGTGGGACACAGGTGAAAGCTAAGTACCCAAATGAGCCACAGAGACATTAGAAAGAACTTTTTCAGTGTCAGAGTAGTTAGTATATGGAATGCACTAGGAAATGATGTGGTAGAATCTGACTCCATTTTCAAATCTAGATATGATAGAGGTCGAGAAGTGCAGGAATCTGTACACAAGTCGATTGATGGTTGAGAGGCGGGACAAAGAACCGAAGCTCAACCCCTGCAAGCAAGTTGCTTCTCTGGAATTCCCCACATCCCATCTAGGAGCAAGTGCCTCTGATCCAGAATTACCTCATTACGCTATTCAAATATTCTTTTAAACCTCACTTACCAATTTTCGTCTATTTAACACATGCAGGCATGAAAAAATACACACAAATATGAAGGACAAAGTACGGAAACAACTCTCATACTGGAGGTAGTCTCGGTTAGGCTATCTATAATCAAAACATCAACCCTCACAAGTGTTTCAACCTTAAACTGCAGTTCTTCATTTTCTCCCCGCTTGTGATGAGAGTATAGGCTTTTGTCTTGTTTGTGGAGAGAGTGAAACCGAGTTCAACACACTTCCTTCCAGGGAATTGAATAGGCTGTTAAAAATTTTCAGATGTGGGGGTCTTGTATTATGACATCAACTGCATCTCCCACTTGTTGTGTTCCTTCCGGAAATTCAATATTAGCAATGTCGTTCATAAGGATGGTGAATAGTGTGAGATGTAATACTCTTAGTTGAGTGGGCCCAAATTATATATTCATTGTTCTCGAGACTGCTCCATCGAGACGACTTTCGCTTTGCTTCTTGTGAGATAGTCTTCAATCAATTTCATGATTCTTCCCCTTGACACTCATGAATGCAAGCTCTTCCAGGATCGCAATCCATTTTGCTTTATCGAAGGCTCTTCTGATGTCGACAAATGCAGAGTATTTACCTGTGTCATCAGCTAAGTAATTAACTATACAATGACACGTAGGCCCCCAGCTCGTGATCATAGAACACAACTTACGCTATAAGCCGTACATAGCACGGCCTATAGCGTAGGTTGTTTTTTGATTAATTATCTTTCTTTTAAGCAATTACTGATTTTAACTTAAGGAGAAATGTATTTTTGGTGTTAGTTTAATATAATTTACTTTAAGAATTTATAATGTAAGCTTAATATATTTTTAAAATAATTCAGATTTTCCGAAGCCAACATCACAGTATCCTAAGTCAACGTTTCTCTTTGTTTCACTAAGGCTGTGGCACTAATGCAATAACCATGTGTTATTGCATCAGGGATGAATTTGATTTAATAATTTTAACTTGCTGTGTTAATGTAAGAGTGTAATTATAATTAGTCCACATTTGGTACAATACTGTAAAACATTTATCATGGTTAGTGTTGTATGTTAAGGTAATGTTAAGTGTATTATCAAATTTTGTAGGGCGAATATTACCATAAATGTTGCGTCACTGTATATCCTCTTACTTATATTTGTTTATAATGTGTGGTACTTACAAATGTTTCATTATAATTCATTCTTAACCAATATATTGCATGTTAAACTTGGATATTATAGTGAAGTGTGTTGTGGCAGGTGTGTTGCGAGGGGAAGGTGGTGCTCGTCACCGGCTGCGACTCTGGCTTCGGCAACACCCTGGCGCTACACTTGGACAAGCTGGTTAGTGCCACTATCTCATAGCAACCTGCTGGTCTCTGGCTCTCATTGTCACTACCTCACAGCGGCCAGCTGGCCTCTGGCTCACACTGTCTCTACCTCACAGCGGCCAGCTGGCCTCTGGCTCACACTGTCTCTACCTCACAGCGGCCAGCTGGACTCTGGCTCTCACTGTCACTACCTCACAGCGGCCAGCTGGACTCTGGCTCACAGTGTCACTACCTCACAGCGGCCAGCTGGCCTCTGGCTCACACTGTCACTACCTCACAGCGGCCAGCTGGACTCTGGCTCTCACTGTCACTACCTCACAGCGGCCAGCTGGCCTCTGGCTCACACTGTCTCTACCTCACAGCGGCCAGCTGGCCTCTGGCTCACACTGTCTCTACCTCACAGCGGCCAGCTGGCCTCTGGCTCACACTGTCTCTACCTCACAGCGGCCAGCTGGACTCTGGCTCTCACTGTCACTACCTCACAGCGGCCAGCTGGCCTCTGGCTCACACTGTCTCTACCTCACAGCGGCCAGCTGGCCTCTGGCTCACACTGTCTCTACCTCACAGCGGCCAGCTGGCCTCTGGCTCACACTGTCTCTACCTCACAGCGGCCAGCTGGACTCTGGCTCTCACTGTCACTACCTCACAGCGGCCAGCTGGACTCTGGCTCACAGTGTCACTACCTCACAGCGGCCAGCTGGCCTCTGGCTCACACTGTCACTACCTCACAGCGGCCAGCTGGACTCTGGCTCTCACTGTCACTACCTCACAGCGGCCAGCTGGCCTCTGGCTCACACTGTCTCTACCTCACAGCGGCCAGCTGGCCTCTGGCTCACACTGTCTCTACCTCACAGCGGCCAGCTGGCCTCTGGCTCACACTGTCTCTACCTCACAGCGGCCAGCTGGACTCTGGCTCTCACTGTCACTACCTCACAGCGGCCAGCTGGCCTCTGGCTCACACTGTCACTACCTCACAGCGGCCAGCTGGACTCTGGCTCAGAGTGTCACTACCTCACAGCGGCCAGCTGGCCTCTGGCTCTCACTGTCACTACCTCACAGCGGCCAGCTGGCCTCTGGCTCACAGTGTCACTACCTCACAGCGGCCAGCTGGACTCTGGCTCTCACTGTCACTACCTCACAGCGGCCAGCTGGACTCTGGCTCACAGTGTCACTACCTCACAGCGGCCAGCTGGCCTCTGGCTCTCACTGTCACTACCTCACAGCGGCCAGCTGGCCTCTGGCTCACAGTGTCACTACCTCACAGCGGCCAGCTGGCCTCTGGCTCACACTGTCACTACCTCACAGCGGCCAGCTGGACTCTGGCTCACACTGTCACTACCTCACAGCGGCCAGCTGGACTCTGGCTCTCACTGTCTCTACCTCACAGCGGCCAGCTGGCCTCTGGCTCAGAGTGTCACTACCTCACAGCGGCCAGCTGGACTCTGGCTCTCACTGTCACTACCTCACAGCGGCCAGCTGGCCTCTGGCTCACACTGTCACTACCTCACAGCGGCCAGCTGGCCTCTGGCTCAGAGTGTCACTACCTCACAGCGGCCAGCTGGCCTCTGGCTCAGAGTGTCACTACCTCACAGCGGCCAGCTGGACTCTGGCCCTCACTGTCACTACCTCATAGCGGCCAGCTGGCCTCTGGCTCTCACTGTCACTACCTCACAGCGGCCAGCTGGACTCTGGCTCTTAGTGCCATTATTTTGTATTTATGTGTCTTCGCACTTGTGTATAATTCAATGTGTCGGGGACAGGTAACCACTATATATATACACTGTACATGTTAGGCTAATATCGAGGTCATCCCCAGGGTCTACTTACTGACCCCGCCTGAGGATGCAACTCCATGCTGAATAACTCCTAGGTACCTATTTACTGCTAGATGGACAGGAGCATGAGGTGATAGGAAACGCGCCCAACCGCACGGGTACCGACTAACTCTCCTCACTCTGGTATTATCTCGCTCCTCTCACCCTGGTATTGTCTCGCTCCCCTCACCCTGGTATTGTCTGGCTCCCCTCACTCTGGTATTGTCTGGCTCCCCTCACTCTGGTATTGTCTGGCTCCCCTCACTCTGGTATTGTCTGGCTCCCCTCACTCTGGTATTGTCTGGCTCCCTTCACTCTGGTATTGTCTGGCTCCCCTCACCCTGGTATTGTCTGGCTCCCCTCACCCTGGTATTGTCTGGCTCCCCTCACCCTGGTATTGTCTGGCTCCCCTCACTCTGGTATTGTCTGGCTCCTCTCATTCTGGTATTGTCTGGCTCCCCTCACCCTGGTATTGTCTGGCTCCCCTCACTCTGGTATTGTCTGGCTCCCCTCACCCTGGTATTGTCTGGCTCCCCTCACTCTGGTATTGTCTGGCTCCCCTCACTCTGGTATTGTCTGGCTCCCCTCACCCTGGTATTGTCTGGCTCCCCTCACCCTGGTATTGTCTGGCTCCCCTCACTCTGGTATTGTCTGGCTTCCCTCACCCTGGTATTGTCTGGCTCCCCTCACCCTGATATTGTCTGGCTCCTCTGTTATGATATCAGGCTGCAGGAGAAACGAGTCTCCCCTTGAGAGTTAAACTGCCAGGCATGACCTAACTAAGAGGTTATGGAGAGATAAACCTGGATACTTATATAGTAAACACTCGATTGAATTTGACAAATAGTTTGCAAGTATGGGCAGTGAATAAGAATATAAATAAATGACTGGTCATGAGATGTGGAGAATTTGCTGGGGGTGTGAGGCTCGCTGCTCAGGACGTTGACCTCACTTGAGCACCAGAAATCGTGAGGGTAAGTTGCGCTCTGTTGAGCTCCTGTTAGAGAAGAACCCCCTGGTTGATATACCGGCTAGAGGAAGGAAGTGTGCAGACGTTTCAGCTGTGGAATCAATCTGGAAACGTGTGGGCTTAAGTCCTGGACCCAGATTCACGAAGCAGTTACGCAAGTACTTACGAACGTGAACATCTTTCCTCAATCTTTGACGGCTTTGGTTACATTTATTAAACAGTTTACAAGCATGAAAACTTGCCACTCAACTGTTGTTATTGTTATAAACAGCCTCCTGGTGCTTCGGAGCTCATTAACTGTTTATTAATCGTAAACAAAGCCGCCAAAGATTGAGAAAAGATGGACAGGTTCATAACTGCTTGCGTAGCTGCTTCGTGAATCTGGCCCCTGGACGGCAGGAAGAGTTGTGAAGCCGTCATGAAACATTTTCGTGGGCAGCCGTGTGAGCGCCCTGGTCAAGCGTTAACGAGTGAACGCCCTCGCAGGAAACAATTTCTGTTGTTTGTCTGAGGAAGGAGTTGATGGGAGTACTTTGAGGCCAGAGAAGGAGTTGACGAGTGGAACGTCAAGGCTGTAGGAGTGGATGTTGTACCCTGTGGAAGAGCAAGCCCTATAATGAGGTTACTGGACCTCAAACTGTGTGAAGAGGAACAGTGAAGTGAAGTTTCACATGCTTTTGTGGAATCAGTGGTGGAGTACCACTAGAGTTCAAGGAAAACTTCAAGGTGCAGCAGCCTGGAAGAGCTGTAGAGGATCCTGGTAGATAATTGTGGAGGAGCCTGAAGACAATCAGGGTAGTGAACCTCCAGGTGTAGAGAGGAGGTTCGTATTGTTTACCTATAGGGAGTTGATGGAGTGTTTGAGGGTCATTGGCGTGCATGACGCAATAGAAGATGAGTGACTGCCTATTTTTGGTATCGAGGAATGTTTATGCAAATGTCTATAGTATTACAGCCATAGGCTGGATTTCCTTGTGTATATTTTTATATGTTCTAGGGCTGATAGTGCCTATTTGTATCGCCAGATTTAACCCCCGTAGTGAGGTTGGTAGCATAAGTGGTCAGACAGGAGTTAGGGCACCTCATGATATAAACAGCTGACAACCCTGATGGTATTGGAAGACTACCTGATCATAATTGCATAGAATACTGGCGTTATTATTGTATCTTGTATGTGTGTTGTACGTATTCTTTGTATATTAAATGTTCCCCTCACCCTGGTATTGTCTGGCTCCCCTCACCCTTTTATTGTCTGGTTCCCCCTCACCCTGGTATTGTCTGGTTCCCCCTCACCCTGGTATTGTCTGGTTCCCCCTCACCCTGGTATTGTCTGGTTCCCCCTCACCCTGGTATTGTCTGGTTCCCCTCACCCTGGTATTGTCTGGTTCCCCTCACCCTGGTATTGTCTGGTTCCGCCTCACCCTGGTATTGTCTGGTTCCCCTCACCCTGGTATTGTCTGGTTCCCCTCACCCTGGTATTGTCTGGCTCCCCTCACCCTGGTATTGTCTGGTTCCCCTCACCATGGTATTGTCTGGTTCCCCTCACCCTTTTATTGTCTGGTTCCCCCTCACCCTGGTATTGTCTGGTTCCCCTCACCCTGGTATTGTCTGGTTCCCCTCACCCTTTTATTGTCTGGTTCCCCCTCACCCTGGTATTGTCTGGTTCCCCTCACCCTGGTATTGTCTGGTTCCCCTCACCCTGGTATTGTCTGGTTCCCCTCACCCTTTTATTGTCTGGTTCCCCCTCACCCTGGTATTATCTGGTTCCTCTCACCCTGGTATTGTCTGGTTCCCCTCACCCTGGTATTGTCTGGCTCCCCTCACCCTGGTATTGTCTGGCTCCCATCACCCTGGTATTGTCTGGCTCCCCTCACCCTGGTATTGTCTGGCTCCCCTCACCCTGGTATTGTCTGGCTCCCCTCACCCTGGTATTGTCTGGCTCCCATCACCCTGGTATTGTCTGGCTCCTCTCACTCTGGTATTGTCTAGTTCCCCCTCACCCTGGTATTGTCTAGTTCCCCTCACCCTAGTATTGTCTGGCTCCCCTCACCCTGGTATTGGAATGGCTCCCCTCACCCTGGTATTGTCTAGTTCCTCTCACCCTGGTATTGTCTGGCTCCTCTCACTCTGGTATTGTCTAGTAACCCTTATCCTAGTATTTTCCAGCTCCCCCTCACCCTGGTACTGACTGACTCCTCTCACCCTGGTACTGACTGACTCCTCTCACCC